CGCTACTCTCAGTATATATATGCCAAGACATATTAATGTTTATTTTACCTGCTGCCCCCTTCAAAAATGCATTAAGCTTCTGATTTTGCTGAAGGATAGCTGAATAAAATAAATTATACACATGAAGATCCATTCTTATACAGCCTGTCTCTTTCCACCCCCTCTGTTAACTGTTGGGTGATACTTAGAGTCCATCTATTGAAAGCAGTGTGACTTAAGTTAGGCATGATGGATTTAATTTCCATTGATTTCATACTCTTAAGTATGACTCAGTTTAAATCTAACCATTGTTTCTTTCTTTTCTAATACCCATATTAAAGCCATTTTTGGAAAATGTAGACTTGGCATGTTGGTTGACGGAGGAGGAACTGTTCCCCCCCCCCACCCCAAAGTTACTCTGATCTCCTGCAAGTGAAGCCATTTTGTGATTCAGTCAGTTTATTTCTAGGACCCATGTTGGATACCACACACTAACCCTTTTTTGAAATTTTGCCCTCCACTCTTTCCTTTGCCATTCTAATGAATTGACCCTGTGCCTTCCACAGCATGGCACACTCTGTTACTGGATTTTATTGGGGCTCAGGGTGGTTTTCCGAATTGTTTCTTACCCCAGTAACCAGCTCTGTGTTTTGTCTTGCCTTAAAGCTACGTAAAGCAATGGTTTATCTTTTGTGTGCTTAGGAAAGCAAACATTTGAACAAGTAGAGCATATTAGACAGAGTATATCCCATTTATATGCATTAATTCAAACTATGAGGCTTTCTTAAAATGTTACATCCAGCGATGCAAAGACTGCTGTTTAAATCAAACGCTTCTGAGATTCTGAGTCAACAATGGAACAAGTACATGACTTTTCAAATGAACATATGCTGTTTAGAAATGAGAGAAGATGGACTCCTTTTTTTTTCTTGGAAGAGCCTTATAATAAGAGTCGATTTTTTTAAAAGAAAAATTTCTGAGTATTCTTAGCCTCTTGTAATGCCCTCATGACTTGTTTGCTTTGAGTTAGGGCTGATTCATGCAACTGCTTCTAGGGCATATGTTCCAACTGTTGTAATTATACATAAAAATTGTCAGCCCAGATTGAATGAGGGGTAATGCAGCTGTCATTTCTGGACCATATGCCAATTTGCTAACTCATTATGAAGACGTTAAGCAACCTGAACTGGTGCATGCTCACTCAGAAGCCATTTCCATTGACTTCAGTGGAAAGAAGGGTGCCCACAAAGTCTATTTTTTTATCAGGTATAATCCCACTGCAATACTACCTGCAGCTATACCAGGAGAGCAGAACCTCAGGCCCAGGAGCCAGCTGTGGCTCTCTAGAGGTTCCCAGAAGCTTAACCTTCCTTTTCTGGCCTCACCTCCTTTCTCCAAGCCTTCATCAACTCTTTCATTGGTTCCTAGTCTAGGGGCAGTTTTTCTTCATTCCAAAATGCTGAATGCCTCTTTTGAGGCTTACTTCTTGGAAGGAAGAGCTTTTTGTTTGTTTCTGTGGCCCTGATTCTTGCTTTTACCCCCATCCCCACTGGAATATGGCCCCTGAGTGAAATTCAGACTCGAGACTAAAAGAGGTTCTGCATACCTGGACTACGTATTCAGGACTATGGGCCAAATCCTAAGTTTCTTCACATTGTGTGGCTGGGGAGAGTGCTCATACAAGAAAATGTAGATGTTATCTAGACTGATATTTAAATAAAATGTATGTATTTACTGTTGGGAGTGCTGGGTAATAGTAAGTTTTACAATAATAGTTTTGTGGCGGCTTGACTTTTATAAGGATGTTAATTCTGATAAAATGCCTTGTTATCAGAGGCCCCAGGTTACCAGGTACAGCTTTCTGAGATAAGCAGGGTGGTTATATGTTAGTGCAACATATTTTCATAAACAGGATCATGGGCAACACCAAATTATTGTCTCTAGATCCCCTCTCCCACCCCTAATGCCTGCCCAAGGACCTTTTAAAAAAAGTATTTGCTCTCATGCTCAAGTGCTTCCAGCTGTTTTGTGGGGTTACCTCCACCCCCAACAACTGCCCTACAAGTTATGTCATTATGAAACAATGTGAATGAAAATGTCATTATGGCAGTGGTTATCTCCTTCCTCCCTCCCTCCCTCCCTCCCTCCCTCCCTAATGCCCCAGAATGCCTTACCTTGCACAGCATCGGGGGCAAATTCTTTGTTTCCTTGTTCTGAGCAGCTTCTGGCTGCCATGTTGGGAATTTTTTTGTTTGCATCTTAAAACTGCAGTTCATAGTAGGGATGTATCAAAACAGGGAACTATGACTTGATTCTCCTTCATGGATCACTGCCTTGTCATGACGAAGGGGCTTGCGTAGCTCAATGAAGCTATGGGCCATGCTGTGCAGGACCACCCAAGATGGACAGGTCATAGACGAGAGCTCTGACAAAATGCGATCCACTGGAGAAGGAAATGGCAACCCACTCCAGTATCTTTGCCATGAAAACCCCATGGACAGTACCAAAAGGCAAAAAGATATGACGCCGGAAGATGAGCCCCTCAGGTCAGAAGGTGTCCAATATGCTAATGGGGAAGAGCGGAGGGCTAGTACTAGTAGCGCCAGAAAGAATGAAGCGACTGGGTCAAAGCCGAAAGGACACTCAGTTGCTGATGTATCTGGTGGTGAAAGGAGAGTCCGATGCTGCAAAGATCTATATTCCATAGTAACCTGGAATGTAAGATCCATGAATCAAGGCAAGCTGGATGCGGTCAAACAAGAGATGACAAGACTGAACATCGACATCTTAGAAATCAGTGAACTAAAATGGACAGGAATGGGTGAATTTAATTCAGATGACCATCAGGTATACAACTGCGGGCAAGAATCCCTCAGAAGAAATGGAGTAGCCTTCATAGTCAATAAAAGAGTAGG